ACTGGGGCTAGGAACCACCTAAGGGCCACATTTATTAACCTAATCACCTCTGAGGAGGCCCTATCTCCAAACACAGTCACATTCTGAGATACTGGGGTGTCGGCTCCAACGTATGCCTTCTGAGAACACAATTTATCCCACACCAGGTAGCTTACAACTTGTTTTTTCTCACTTAACAGTAAATACATCCTAGCATCACTGCATAGCGGTTTGGATCGTTTCTCTGCTATTTTCTACATCTACAAAAGACTCATTTTGTGACCACACCAGTTTATTCAACCAGTCTCGTGGACATCTGATGGACATTTGGTTTGTTAATCTTTTGCATTACAGAGTGTTGCAATAACTAACTTTGTACATACACCTTTTTGTATTTTTGTCATTAGATCTTTGTGACAGATTCCTAGAAATGGAATTGCTGGGTCAAAGGGTAAATGAAAATATTTAATTTGGCTTGATATTGCCAAATTGCCCTCCACAGAGATTCACACTACCAGAAAATGTACAAGCGTGCCTATCTCTCCCCAGCCTCGCCAGCAAAGTATGCTGTCAAACTTCTGGATTTTTGCTAATCAAAAATGGTAAGAAACGGTATCTCAATGCATGTTAGACTCACAGTTCTCTTATGATGAGCGAGTCTGAACACGTTTTCCATGTTTAAGGGCCCTTTCAATTTTGTGAACAAAAATCTCTTGGAGATTTTGATACGAATTACAAAAACTTTTCTCCAAGTTTGTCCTTTGTCTTTTAAATTTTCTTACGGAGCTTTTCCCCCATGCATGCTCCATGCTGTTTGGGTCAAATGGAGCAAAATTTACCAATCTTTGACCTCACTGTTTCTGGTTTTTGAGTCATATTTTGTAAACTTTTTCCATTTCTAGGTTATAAAGGAATTCATGCTTATGAATTCTACTGCTACTTCCAAGTTAGCAATTTTATTTGCAAACCTTTTCCAGCTTTATTAAGGTATGATTGACAAATAAAAATTGTATTTATTTAGATTTCACATGACTTAAGGTGCACATGATTTAATATATGTATACATTATAAAATGATTATCACAGTCAAGTTAATAAACACATCCATCACCTCACATAGTGACTATTTGTGTGTGTGTGTGTGTGTGTGTGTGTGTGGTGAGAACACTTAAGATCTACTCTCTCAGCACATTTCAGCCTACGATACAGTACAGATCTCTGCTGCCTCCTTACCATAAACCATGAGGCTATCACTTACTTAAACTAAACCTTCCTCTTCCCTATGTTAGTTTTGCTTCTTCTCTTGGTTACCTTTGAATTTACATTTCTATTTCTTTTTAAGAACTTAAAAAAAGTGTATCTTGAACCCCTAATTTGCAAGATGATAATTTTGAAAACAGCCATAGTGCTTACAGGACAGAGCTCTGATTCCTTCTCTTTCCTCTGGCGCCTCCTGTACATGATTCCTAATACTACAAAATATCCTTTTCCTTACACCCCATTGTTGCTTGAAATCACACTTACTAAAGTTTGCTTCATATTCGCTCCAAAACTCTTGCATTCAGACTTTTCTTTGGAATGGTATAGAATGACCTTTCTTTTTCTCCTGTTTTTTTTTTTTTAATTAATTAATTAATTAATTAGGCTGTGTCGGGTCTTAGCTGCAGCACGTGGGATCTTCACTGCCGCGTGCAAGATCTTTAGTTGCGGCATTCAAACTCTTAGTTGCAGCACGTGGGATCTAGTTCCCTGAGCAGGGATCGAACCTGGGCCCCCTGCACTGGGAGCATGGAGTCTTAGCCACTGGACCACCAGGGAAGCCCCTCTTTTTCTTCTCATATGGCACATCTTCCATTTGCTCAATCATAGGTCTTTTTGTTTTTCCCTCCAGAGACCTCCTCCCTGGAGCACCCTTCTCTTGCTCAAATTTGGCCTGATTGCTCTTCTAGGCTGACTGAACAGCTATAATCAGAGATTTCTACGACACTCCTCTCCTGTGCTATTAGACCCACTGTGTCCTGGATTCTCAAGCTTACTTCCTCATTTTGCTAGAGTGTATCTCCCTCCAGTAATATTAAAAAACAAAAAAACCAAAAAACACATCTCTTGAGTGTCTTTCACAGTAATTGAATTTGGCTGGATACTGAATATTGGGCTTAAATTAAGTTTCTTTCAAAGCTTTAAATGTCCTGTTGAATTCTCTTTCAGTATTCAGACTGCTGTCAAACTTGATACCACTCCGATCCTCGTTTCCTGGTAGGAAAAGTCCACTGTTCTCATTATCCTTATTGTTCAGTTTCACAGTGACATGTCGAAGTTGTGGTCTTTTCTCTTGGTCCTAGGAATTCAGTAGGACCTTTTAACTTGAAGACTCTTTTCTTCAGCTCTGGGAAACGCTCCCTTTTATTCTGATAACTTCCTTCCATTCCATTTTCTCATTCTGAGACTCCAACGAAGTCTCCTAGATTGGTCTTCCATGTCTGTTCTTACTAGTCTATCATTCTCTTGTCCTCCCTTAACTTTCCTTAACTTTATTCTCTAGTCCAACTACCAAGTTTTATATATTTTTACAAACCTTTCTTTCTCTGCTCCTTTTTCATAGCATCCCCCGCTTCTTAGTTTTCTGCAGATAATATTTTCTGAAATATGAATATATCAGAATATTTACTTTCACGAAGTTTCTTTCCATTTTCTGAATAACCTTTCTCTCTGGGTGTCAGTTTTTCAAACTTACTAACATTGGTCTTTGATGCTCTTGGTTCTACTCAGTTATCTGATTCTTACTTAAGAAGATACTGGCTAAACGGTAATGCGTTTCCTCTGCTTTCCAGCTCAGCCTCTTTCTTGCATGGGAATTCTACCAGGAACTCTGTGCAACACAGGGCAGGGCAGATGGAGAGGGTCAACCGCAGGCTTTGCTTTAGGGAAACGAGCTGGCTGTCCAGACTGTGGGACCTTCCAAATGCCAGAATGAGAACATTCAGGTGACAACTCCTGTTCTGAGCTTCAGGATGGGAGAGGGAGTGCGGGGCAAACCGGCCCAAATTGTTTCACATACAGGACTTCAATTAATCCGTTTCCACTACCACTGCTCACTCTCAGCACCACTGGACCTGCCAATACTGGGCCCAGAGTTCCTCGGGATTCCCATAAGCAGGCTGGCTCTCCCTCCCCCCCAGCACATTCTGGGCTGTAAACCTTTCCCCCTCTTTTATCTGTCAACCCACTCCCATCTGCTTGTCTTCCAGAAATTCACTGAAGGCTGTTGTCGGTTGCTGAATACCCCTCCTCACCCCCTTCCTCTTCTCATCGCTATTCTAAGCCTATTCCTTCTATTACATCAATTATTTTGGCTCAGTAGGGTCCTGGGAGGGGTTGGGGCAAAACTTAATGGTCAACCCTTCTTGAACTTTCTGGCTATTAGTTTCATGTGAAGAAGTAGGTGGACCTTCTTCGTAACAGTGTTTTGTAGAGAGCAGGAAGGAACCCAGTCTCTAATGCCATGATCTAAGACGTATGCATATTTTCAACTGATGTGTATTTTTTTTCAGCAAGAGGATCTTTCAAAGGAGTGTGTGACCTAAAGAAGAAACTGAACCAGGACAACATCCGGTTTCTTCCGGCTCTGCCGACTTGGGGATGTTTGTGCAGTGTTTAAACCAAGTGAGGCAACACTTTTTGGTTCATGAATCAGGAGGGAAATTTGCTGTTTTGGGTGTGTGTGTGCTGGGGTGAAATGGGTGAGTTTGGTTTTGGAAATGTTGAGTTTTGAGATGTCTGCAGGGTGGTCTAAGAAAAGATGCCTAGTAGGTAGTTGAACCTATGTTAACAGATGGAAAAGATTTGGGAGTCGTCAACCGTGCTGCATATGAAACCACCCAGAAAATAAAGCCATTTCGAAAGACAGAGAGTAGAACTCTGGGTAACATAAACATTTAGGAATGGGCAGAAGAAAACAAATCTTTAACAGAGACCACATAGGACAATTCTCAGTTATGTCAAATGCTGTGAACAAGACCTCTAAGGATGCGCTGGATTTTAGTCACGAGGTTATTAAATGCCTTGGAAAAATAATGAAAGTGAAGTGGCAAACTGGTGGCAAAAGAGGCCTGACTTCTAATAGTATCTGAAACAGTGACTCTGTAGCTGCCTCTGTGGGTCTCTCCAGCAACAGTGTTGGATGGGAAAGGGGATAATGGTGCATTAATCCAGGGTGGGAGCAGAATGAAAGGGATGAAGACCCAAGATAATGGACAAGAGTGTTGAAAACAGCTGAAGACAGCTTAGGATGAATAAGGAAACACAGGAAGTTAAAGGATCTCTGAAAGCTGAAGAGTTAATACTAGAAGAGGCATGAGTAAGATGGCATGAGAACACTGGATGGATAGGAGGCTGGGGTCGGAGAGTGGGGGGACATATAAATGTGTATTATTAAAACTGGGAAGGTCTTGGATACCAACAAGCTGTAGGGTATGGCAGGGGACGGTCCAGCTCAGTGAAGCGGAGGGCAACACCAGGACCTGGGTCAAGGTGTTAGACCTGCTATCCACAAAGAGGCGGTGACGTCACGAGCCGGCACAGGCCTCTGAGTGTGGAGGAAGACAGAGCTAGTTTCTAAATTCTTCCTGCAATACGGGGAGAACATCCAACCAGCCACTGGCAGTAGCAAAGTCAAACAAGAGGCAGATGGCACATGCATCCCTAAGAAATCAGAGGATTCCCCAAAGAGGGTGAGGTTAGATTAGATCAGATTCGAAGATAAGAATCAATTCCACATTTGAGTGCCCATGATTCCCTGTACTGGGTGTATGTAACCCAATGAAGAAAATGCAAAAATGGCCCTCGGGTAATTCATAATTGAGTATATAATCTCTTATGGCCCTTTCGATTCTATGATAAGATGATTTTAATACTCTTGGTCCAAGGCCAACTAGGAAAAATTTTATTTCTGGGTTTTCCTAACCATACAACAAAGAAATGCACCACTTCTACTCTTTATTACATCTTTAAACACACACTCACCTGATTCTTTCTAGGAAGTGCTCTGTCTGCGCGATTGCTTTCTTGAGACTTCCTCCTATTAATTTTCTTTTCTTTATAAGGCTGAGCTTCTGTATTAAATAAGTTGCAAACACTCTCTTCTGAAAAACTGATCAACTGCTATAAAGAAAATTAAAAGCAGGGCTACCATAAAAGAGTCAGTTACATTTTCATGAGTGTCTCTCACATTTCTTTTCCCTTCCCTGCGGATTCTACCGTTTTACATCCCGTTTCCGCTTAATTCACAAATTCCATTAGAAGTATTTTAACCAAGTCACATTCAAAAGAGGGAAATAGTAATTTCTGATTTCTGATCAAACTTTGACCCAGAAGCATATGCACTCTGTCCTACTATTTTATGGAAGAGAAAAAAACAACTTAAGAATCGTTGTTTTAGGTGCAAACTATTATATATAGGATGGATAAACAACAAGGTCCTACCGTATAGCACAGGCAACTATATTCAATATCCTGAGATCAACCGCAATGGAAAAGAATATGAAAAAAATATACATATGTATAACTGAATCACTTTGCTGCACATTGTAAATCAACTATAGTTCAATAAAATTTTTGAAAATAAAAAATAAAAAAGAATCACTGTCTTATTCATTCATCAAATATTTATTGAACATCTACAATGTAGCACCTAACTACTGATGGGTTATAGGGGGAAAAATCATGAACCGTCAGATTATCTAAGTTTGACTTCTGGGTTTACCATCAACAGTATCAGTGAAAAAAATATCAGTATGCTATGTGTTTATGCACTGTGATGCTACAGATAAAAATCCAAGTTCACCTAATTTAATAAAATCGCAAAAGACATGCATTCGATGGGAGTTATGCCCACACTGAAGACAACTGAAGGTAGTTTTTGAAAAAGTTATATTTATGGCACTTTCTGACTGTTAATACATGTGACTCTGGAGAACAAATGTATGGACATCAAGGGGGGAAAGCTGGTGGGTGGTGGTGGAGGGGGTTGGGATGAATTGGGAGATTGGGATTGACATATATACACTAATATGTATAAAATAGATAACTAGTAAGAACCTGCTGTATAAAAAAGTAAAATTAAATTTAAAAATTAAAAAAAAATGCAACTCTTCTCCACTTTGCACTTGGATATAACTCATAAAACCACACAGATCCCAAATAAACTTTCTAAATAGACTACCTTCCACATGAACACACACTCTGAAAGCACCTCGTTTATTGTATTTTTCTTCTAACAGGATTAATTAAAATCAAATCAGGAAAACAGCATTATCCTGGCTTACATGATAGGTAGGATATGGTATTAGTTCTTAACACATTGATTAAACCAAGATTTAACTGATAAAGCATTTGATCATGAAAACAGAGAAAAATCTAGTGCAAGATTTAAAAACAGATACATTGTGCCAAATACAAACACTTACACTTCTTCTGTTAGAGGTCCGCGTTGCTCTACCAACTTTACAGGAGGCTATTTTCTCGTGGTTATTTGAAGAGGCAAAGGTATCAGTGCCTGATGAGCAAGACACAGCAAAATTAGGGTAGCTAACAAAAAGCTGTAAGATCCATCATCTATTGGACACACTGGATGCTCTTTTGGATACCAATTTTGCTTTTAGTATCCTACCATATCTGAACATATTACCAGGAGAAATAAATTTTGAGATTTCAAAAACATTTTTAAAAACATGAAAATACTTTAATTTCACAAAGTTCAAAAAATTTTAATTTGGTCACTTTGAACGGTATAAATAAAAGGCAGTATAACCTGTCAAAGAGCATAAGCTTTGGAAGATGACAGGCTATACTTCCAATTTAGCTCTTACTTAACACTCCATGTCTTGGATTCTGTGCTAATGAGCTTGGTTTGTGTCCTAGAGCCAACAAGATGTGTTGGTGATCCATTAAAGGATTTCGACCAGGGGAGAGACGTGAATAATGGTTCCATTGCAAGTGCTTTGCCCGTGACATTTGCTGGCCAAGTCCTGGTTTGTCAGGAAAGCACAGAGAGATCTTTGTTGCCTTGTCATGATCATAAAAAAAACTAGAGACCTCAGAAAGTACATATGCACAAAATGCCATGTTGATGTTGATGAACAATTTTGTGTAATCAAAAATGACGCTTAGGATTCATATCATTTCAATTGTGCAACCTGAAAAGGAGCCTACTGTCAGTCCTTAAGTGTTGAGAGGGCAACTCCACTACTTGCAGTGACTTGAAAAATGCGGCTACCCATCAGAGGAAGTTAAATGTGGGTGATTATAAAGTATGGACTTGGGATGGAAAGGGATGGATAAGAGACTTCTTGTAAGCTTTTCTACATGATTTGAGTTTTTGAAAAATCAAGTACGATCATAATAAAAATAAAAATTTTAAAATAAGGTGATTTTCATACATACACATATTTAAAATGACATTTATGATTTTTAGATAAGCCAAAGTTACTACCTGAAAGAGTCTCAGAGATTGAAGACTTACTAAGAGGACTGAGACCTGCAAATGATACCTGAAGAGGTTCTATGTTTTCCTAAACAAAGAAAAAAGTAGAAATTAGATATCTTTAAATCCAGTGGACATAGAAATAATGTGCCCATAAGAAAATAATACATACTTATTTTTGTAGGAGGAACTGTAATAAGCATAAAGATGGGAAATAAAAGATTAACCAAAAAAAGAGCAAAAACAAGATACTGGATAGAAAAATAAATGTTTTATAATATTTACCAATCATATTTAAGGAAACCATGCTTACTAACTACAACCCACCAAAATAACAATTAAAAATATAATAATAATTTTTAAAAAGTGAAAGTAGTCATGATGATCCACTAATAAGTTACTTTTTGGCTTATTTAAAATCCCATATCCTAACGCCAGTAAAGTAAGAAAATTCATTAATAAACACAACCAAACATTACAGTATTATTCAGGAGACCTTAAGGGTAAATATAAATGCGGATGTCAAATCTTTTCTTTCCGACAGCCAGTATAATGGTAGCTGTTAATTTTTCATAGATAAGATCTGTCAGGTTGAAAAAATTATTTTTTCTCACCAATTTGCTCAGAGTTTTTAATCTAAAATGAATGCTGGATTTTGTCAGATGCTTTTTCTCCATCTGCTGAGATGACCATAGAGTTTTTCTGTTTTACTCTGTTAATATGGTGAACTCTGCATACTGGCTTTCAAATAAACCAACCTTGCATTTTGGGGGTAAAATCTCACTTGGTCATAATGTATTTATTCTCTTTTTAGTTAGTATGTTTGTGAGGATACTGGACTGTAGTTTTCTTCTCTCATAATGTCTGATTATGGTATCAGGCTACTGCTGACATTGATGAGTTGGGAAGCATTCCCAACTCAATTTGTTTGGAAGAATGTATGCAGAATTAGTATTGTATCTTCCTTAAATGTTTGGTAGAATTCATTAGTAAAATCATCTGCACATGCAGTTTTCTTTGTGAGAAGGTTTAAACTACAATTTAAATTTCCTTAGTTGATATAGAGCTAATGAGACCACCTATTTCTTCTTGAGTGAGATTGATAGCTTGTGTCTTTCAAGGAATGTAGCTTAAGTTGTTGAATTTATTGGCATAAAATAAAGTTGTTCATAATATTCTTTTATGATCCTTTTAGTATTATTAAGATATGTAATTATGTCACCTCCCTTATTCCTTATATTGCTAATGAGTATCCTCTCCTTTTGTCCTGAACAGTCTGATTAGAAGTTTACTATTATTTTCTGCAGCAAAACCTTCTGATTTCAATGATTTGTCTCTATTGTTTTTCTGTTTTCTATTTCATTGATTTCTACACTTATCTTTATTACTTCCTTTCCTCTTCTTAGTTTGGTTTCAATTTGCTTTTCTTTTTCTAGTTTCTTAAAGTGGAAGCTGAGATCATTAATTGGAGACCTCTATTATTTTCAAATACAGGCTTTAATTTTTAGGAATTTTCCTCTAAGCACTGCTTTACCTGCATCCCACACATCTTTTGTTACTTTATAGTGGCTTAGGGTTTACAGCACACATCTTTTAACTTATTCCACTTTGTTTATAGCCTAAGAACCCCTCCCAACCTTTATGCCATGTTAATTTGGTTGTATATTTTACTTACCTAGGTTATAAACCAAACAAAATATTGTTGTTACTCTTGCTTTGAATAATTATCCTTTATGGAGACTAATTAAAAAGAAGTCTGTTACATTTGCCCACATACTTAGCATTTTCAGTGCTCTTCATTCCTCTGTGTAGACGCAGATTTTCCTGCAGAACTATTTTCCTTCTGACTAAAGGGCTTCCTTTTCAACACTTCGTCTAATGCTAACCTGTTATGGTAATGAATTATTTCAACTTTCGTTATGTCTGAAAAAGCCTTTATTTCCACCTTTTCTTTTGAAAGATGGTCTCACTAGATAGAGAATTCTAGTTTGACAGGTTATTTTTGGTTTTTTGCTCCAAGTAGTTAAATAAATCTTTAAAAGATGTTGCTGCACTGCCTTCTGGCTCGCTCGCATAGTTTCCAACCAGAAACCTGCTGCCTCTCTTATATTTGTTCTTCTTATGTCACATGTCTTTTTCTCTCTGGCTCCTTTTAGGCCATTCATTGTTGATTTTAAGCTTTGTGTATTTTTCTTTATGTTTCTTGTGCTGGGAATATGTTGAACTTTAGGATCAGTGGGTTAATAATTCTATCAAATTTGGACATTTTTCAGCCATTATTTTGCAAATATATTTTTCCTGTTCCTTCCAATCTCTTCTCTCCTTTGGGAACCCTAATTACAAGCACTTTACACCACCTGAAGTTGTCCCAGATCACGACTTGTCTGCTCATTCTTGTTCAGTCTTTTTCCTGTGTGTCATTGAGAATAATTTCTATTGCTACACTTCGAATTCACTAATCTTTTCTCTTGCAGTCTCTAATATGCTATTATTCTCATCCAACATATTTTTATTCCTGGAGATTATAATGTACAAAGTTTGATTTGGGTCTTTTCTTTATCTTCCATGTTCTTAAGAAGCTCAATCCTTTCTCACATCCTTGAACATATACGAAATATAGTTAAAATAACTCTTTCAATGTCTCTCTAGAAATTCTATCATATGTGTCATTTCTGGGTCTATTTCTATTGACTGATTTTTCTCTTCATTATGGGGCATCTTTTCCTACACAAGTATTAATTTTTAATTGAATGCCAGACATTTTGAGTTTAACATTATTTGTTGCTAGATTGTTTTGTTTTGGTTTGGTGGGAAGGATAAAACCATTTTATTGAGGGCCTTCAGGGGAGGGTTGAAGGGCTGGGAGGACAATGAGATCTGATGCCTTGGCCTCCCTGGGATCTCCCCACCTTCACAGCTGCCAAAAGCAGTTTTGATATTCTTGAGGTTCATTATGCAACACAGTTACATGGGTATAAGTTAGATCCTTTCAAGACTTGCTTTTAGGCTTTGCCAGGCTTTTAGTTTAATTCTGCTCCACTAATGAAGCAATACTCTTCTGAGTATCTGACACCCTCTGAATTACAAGGTTTTTCTACATGAGTTGGTGGGAACACAATTCCTGCCCTGTGTGAGCTCTAGGCATTTCCCTCTGCTCCATTTGGGCAGTTCCTCCCTGGCTGGGGCAGTTTACTCACAAGGATGTGTTGACCAGCACTCAGCTAGAGACTTGACGAGACCCTTTGCAGATCTCCAGAGTTCTCTCTCTCTGCAGGTCTCTTCTCTCTGGTATTTTACCCTGTGAACTCCAGCCTCCTTCACTTTTCCAGACCCCAAATCCATCTTCTCAACTCATGGAGACTGCCAGGCTCCACCAAGGTATCCCCTCCCTGTGCTGCAGCCTGGAAATTCAGCCCAGGCAGTAAGTTGGGGCTCTCGTAAGGCTTACCTCATTTGTTACCCGCCTCAGAGATTACTGTCTGTGCTTCCAGACAGTCAATGCCGGTGAACCACTGTTTCATATCTTTTTCTCTGGCTTTTTAGTTGTTTCTCATGGCAATGTAAATTAGGTCCCTCTTATTCCATCTTGGCCAAAAGCAGAATATTCTTATTTCAAAGTATAACAGCAAGAGAGAGATTGAATGATGGCCCCAATATAAAAATGGGTAAGTAAAACTAATAGGCAGTTCTCAAGAAATTCAAATAGCCTATAAACATGTGAAAATGTTCAAACCTCACTAACAAACAATATTTTCCAGTCATCTTTTTCTCCTATTAAGCTATTTTTTTAAAAAGTACCATTAAAACCCAGGGTTTACAAAGGTATAATAAATTAAATCATTTATAGTGCTGTGAGTTCAAATTAGTACATACTTTCTGAATAATTTAGCAGTATGTATCAAAAAGTTCAAAAAATGTTCATATTCCTTAATCCAGTAATCCCACCTGCAGAAATTCATCTTAGGAGGAAGAACAATTTATACAATTCTAAGATTGCTGCTCTTTCAACATTTTAACACCTCTGAAATCTGAGTACATGGTGTGTATCACCGTTTAACTTTCAGCCTTTTTTCTTAGTGATAGATAAAATGGCACATCTTACAATCAATAGCAGTTAGGTTTCAGAAAATACGCTATGTACAAGGAGTCATGGAAGTATTGTTTTTAATAGGAGAAAACTGGTAATCACCTAGCTAGAAAATGCATTAATTTGTACCATGACACATTGCTCAGTCCATCTCATGATATCAAAGCACAATTATTGCTCATGCAAAATAGGTGAGGTCTGATGAAAATGTAAACAAGATTGTTCCACACTTTTCACACTTACAAGATTCTCTCCCTTGTCATCAAAATTTGGTTGAAGTAACCCCTCAGGAGCTGGGGACTGTTCAAGTAGCAGGGGACTGAGGGTACTTAAATCCTTTTTACGAACCGGTGTTTCTCCTTTACGCAATGGAGTGTTTGCTGGCAAAGATTCATCAAACACTTCAGGGCTTAGGTCCTCTCCGAAAGTAACTCTCTTCCTCTTCCTCACATTTAGAGAGTCTGGTACTGTACAATTTTCTTGACCTTCTATTAGATAATAAATGGGAATATATTTAAAAACTAAACTCCATTTCTTATCTAAAAGACATATCCTAGAATCTTTTCACATGATTGCATCTGGCTATTTGTATAACACAAAACATAGTTTGTACAGAAAAAAAGTTTAAAGTGGAAAAGATAAGCAATATTTCTAATTAAAATATGGTCATGGATTTTAAAGTAAATTCTGCATGCCTGTCTTAAAAGATTACAAAATTGAACATCAATTTCCTTACAAGTTTCACATTAAGCAAAAAGGGATAGATGACATGGGTGGAATCAATTCTGAAACTTCAACAGAGGGTCCATCCCTCCCAACTCTTCTTCATTCCCATGTAATTTCAGAAGCATCAGGCATCAGCAGATCATTGAAAATACTACGTACTACCTCAGGTTTTTTTCATAACAAGCAAATGATATCTTCAGGCTTCAAAATAAATCTGAATTTCTTACCTGCTTTTCGTTCTTTGCAACAGTTTGCAAGATTTAAGATTAAGCTTGGATGAGTCCCACCATCACAGAGGTTGTCATGGTGTTCCTAAATAAAATAAACACTGATGAATAATTTTACATATATAAATACATACACACAGACATTAAGAACGGCAACTTCGAATTTTTTTCCTGCCAAGGGTAGATACTACATAGTACTGCAGATTACCTTTACTTTCATAGTTGATCTGACTTAAAATGTCATGATATTAGCCACAACGAAAAACTGGGTTCCTTAGCTATCATAATACTTTAGTAAATAGTTTTAGGCCAAAATTAAAGAACAGAAATCCACAATGTGGGCTAAATTCATTCCCTCATTCTTGACCTGGCAAGTGACTTGAAGGAAAATGTGAATGGCCAGAATTACAGTGTACTCTGGATGGTGTCAAACGAGATAGACTATATAAATGGTCTAAAGTATAAGAATTCCACCACAACAAGAAAAAAACAAAGATGTACATGGCATAATAGGGTGTTTTGTCTTTTAGACATGGGAACCACACCTTTTATAAGTGTATAAATCTCCAGTCTACGATACTATATTCTTGAGTTAGAACAAGCAAAGAAAGTAGCATTTGTCCTTCTGTGCTTCTCCAGAAGAAGATTATAGAGTAGGCAAGTTGGTGAGGAAAGGACAATGTGAATCCTGAAGAACAGGAGGGGCAAGCCCAAACACAGGGCCACTGGAGCAAAGTGGGCGAGAGCCAGGGCTGTGGGTGGCTGAGAGGTACCTCCAAATCACCGTCTGTTTGTCTCGTCTCATCCTAAGCCCTGACCAGCCCTTGTTCTCTAGAGCTGGTCATTTTCTCCAGCACACCCATCCCAAGAGCAGCTCCTTCTCTAAGAAACAGTCCTGCCCTAAACAAACCTCCTTCATCAAGCATCTCCTGAGACTCAGCTTCATTTTCCCAACCAGGAAAATGCTCACATCAGTATTTGTGAAATAAGTGAACTTATACAACAAAGTTCATGTTAACGTTTAGATTTACTTTTCATTATTACCATGAAAGTTATCCAACAACTCAAACAGAATACACTTGCAAGCTTTGGGCAGCTGAGCAAGAAGACCATTAGTTGTGAAAGTCTTCATATGATTTTAGTGGCAGGACTTGATGTTTCTGCTACATTAACACTGTTAATTGATAAGAGTTACACAGATCATTAAGATGCTAAGTCTCTTCTTTGAGGAGAAGATAAAACAAATAAAAGATAAAAAATGAGCAGTGCTGTACAGAAACCCAAATCAAGCCCTTTAACCAGAAAAATTGTTAAAACATTTAAAAATAACAACTGATCATACATCCATGTAGATAGAAGGTAGTCTAGTTCACTTTGGCTTTAAAGACAGATTTATAGGTATAGCTGTATGGTCAAGAACAACAACAACAACAAAATGTGTAATTCTCATTTGCCAGGCACTGGTGCTAACTGCACATTATTATCCTACTTTATGCTCAAATTACCCTGTAAGGAAGTTACTAATATTGTCCTTTTATAGATAAGGAAACCAGGGTACAAAAAGGTTAACTAATCTACCTAGTTCTTAAACTTCAGCGTCAGCGAATGAAACCGGGCACTGTGACCCCAGAGCCGTCCTCTCAACCTCTCAGAGTGTTTACAGCCTGTCATGGATGTTTAACATCAGATTCGTCTGGGTTCATTTAACAACTTCAAGCCTGAGTTTATGTAAAATGGGGCTAATACCTTTCTTGGATACTGCTGCTGCATGTACATCATATATTCCAGAACCTTCACTGGAAGTACTCAATAAATGCCAGCTAGCTCCCATCAACCTACTCTCTTCTCATACTAGCTCAACTTACAGATGCTCGCCTATAAGAGGTATCTTGAAAAGCAGATATTTTTGGTGGAAATAATTAACAAACTCACACATTAATAACTTATGAAACTCTTATAAAATATGGTCTACCTATATTAAATTCAACATACTATATTCCAAACTGAGTTAAAAAAAAAAAAGACATTTCCTGTTAGGCCAGTATTACATAACATTTCAGAGGTATTTCTTTGAACCAAAATGAATTTTTATTCAACTTGCTTTAGGAAATGTAGCTCTATACTGACCTGCAGGCTGTCTAGACACAGCTTTGCAGAAGGTTTCTTCAGCACAGAACGAAGTACAAAGGTCTCAGAGGATGGAATGTCCCTCTGGCACAGTGAAGTAACCAGTGACCTGGCTTCAAGAGCCACGTCTGTACTCACTTCTGTAAATTTGTCAACTGAAACCGCATCGCTGGATCTTTTGCCCTCTACAGAGTCAGCGACCTGGATTCCTTCAACACAGAGGTGTAAACATGAGAGGTGGCAGACATCTGAGTCAGTCTGTTCTACAACAAAAGTAGTAAGTATTTACAAAAGGAATAACAACCTTTTCAGAAATTCAACCCTAAGATATCCTGCTTGAGGAGCAGCATCTGGGATTTCACTTGGAGACATAAAACAAAGAGAAGCGGCACTGGCCACAGCTTTTATTTCAAATCTGACCACTGAGGGCAACAGTGACTAAGGTGTCTTGGCTCCACGGAAATCTAAGAAGGCCCCCACGGCTCAACTATTAACTGTTACTCTGCTTCCACTCCCGACACCTATGGTCTGCACCATGAAACTAACTTGAGCCAGACAACGAATCATGACTGATTTTACTGGTGGAGTCAGAGGCATTTTCAGCACGCAAGGGTACTGGGAGGGAAAGGACAGAATGCTGAGGAGAACGACTATCAGATAAAAAAATGAACATGTATGTGCCCCCAAGCAAGGCAAGGCTCCCCCCTGCAAATTCTCACAAGAGAGCATTGCCTGATGATTGACATTTAACAAATATATACTGGGCGCTTAAGGTGTGACAGGCACTTTGCGAGAGATATAAACACCACAGATAAAGCCCCCATGGCCTCAGAGGACAAATAGACAACATAAAGTATAGTAACTGGGGGCACAGAGGGAAGGAGGTAGCTGTGCCTGTGTAAAAGGGTAGCATGAGGGACCGTGTGATGGGACTGCGATATATCTTGACTGTAGTGTGGTTATGTGAGCCTACACCTGTGATAAAATCATGGAACCAAATATACACACAAACGTGTGCATGCAACACTGGTGAAATCTGACCCAAGAGGTCAGTGGATTGTACCAGTGTTGATTTCCTGGTCGTGCACTGTATTACAGTTATGCAAGATGTTACCACTGGGGAAACTGGGGGAAGGGTGGACAGGCTTTCTTCCTATGGATTCATTCTTACACCTGCATGTGAATCTACAGGCATCTTAATATAAAAATTAAAGAAATGTATATATAATAACAAGCAGTAACCCATGCCATTAAGGAGAATAATGCAGAGATAGGGTTAGGGTATGGGAGGGGTGGAGGTGAGTTCAAGGACAGCCTGCCGAGCAGGCACCTGAACACAGTGAGGAAGCGAGCCGCACGTGTGTCTAGGGAAGATTATACATACGCTCAAAGCCAAGTGCAAAGACCAGTGACAGGAGTGCCCCTGGCGTATAAGAGGTGGGGCAAGGCCATAGTGACTGGAACAGAGCCAGCAGGAAGACAGCTAAGCCACAAGCTCAGAGTCAAGGCTAAGGACCAGGTCAGGTGCGGCCTAGTAGGAAGTGGATGGACTGGATTCTATCCTAAGTATGCTGGGAGGCCAGGGAGAGATTCTGAGGGGAGTGACAGAGTGTGATTTGCATTTTATTTATTCTTTTTTTGTTGTTTCTGTTGGAAGGGTAACAGGTTTTTTTTATAGGCGTCAGTATTTAGAGGGGTTATTTTTCTTCCCTCCAGTTTTATTGATACAAGGTGTGCAGCATAATGATCTGACTTACACGTACCACGAAGTGATGACCACAGTCAATCTAGTGAACATCCACCACCTCATACAGATACAACATGAAATAGAAAAAAATTTTCCCTTGTGATGAGAACTCCTAGGATTTGCTCTCTTTTTTTTTTTGCGGTATGCGGGCCTCTCACTGCCGTGGCCTCTCCCGTTGCGGAGCACAGGCTCTGGATGTGCAGGCTCAGTGGCCACGGCTCACGGGCCCAGCTGCTCCGCAGCATGTGAGATCTTCCCAGACCGGGGCACGAACCTGTGTCCCCTGCATCGGCAGGCGGACTCTCAACCACTGCGCCACCAGGGAAGCCCAGGATTTGCTCTCTTAACAGCTTTCATATATACCATACAGCAGTGTTCATTATATTTATCATGTTGTACATGACATTCCTAGTACTTATTTATTTTATAACTGGAAGTCTTTACCTTTTACCTGCCTTCCTCCAATTCACCCTTCCCCCTTCCCCGGCCTCTGGTAGCCAGAAATCTGAGCTCTTTTTCTATGTGTGTGTTTGTTTTTGAAGTATCCCACTTTATAAGACCTCTTCCCTCTTCCTAAAGGTGCACCGTCTGAGATATAATAACCTCTGGGGTGCCACCAGATAACCAGCTTAAAATAAAACACTGGAACCAGCACTAGACTCCTTTAATCAAGGCCCCACCGCCTATGGGAGATTTGTCTTTTCCTGTCTTATACAATGTTCCTGCTTAGGGCCTAGAGGGGTGTTAAAATGGGATACGTTGGCCCTTGTTGTGATGTTCCCAAGAAGACAGAGTGTACAGGGAGGTGTTAGGTATGATGACAGTTTTTAATGACCATACTTCATACATTCTATAACCACTGTCAAAGAATATGTCACTCCTAAGACAAAGTCCCATGAGAGTAAAGCAAGAGAATTGGTAAGAGCTGCTGAAGGCAAAAGCAACCCATCTCATCCAGGTAACAAACTCATAACCCTGCTCTCTGCCCCATCTATCCATCCATCCATCGCATGATTAAAATTAAGAAGTCAGAGCAGATGTGCACCACAAGAAATGCTGAAGGAAGTTCTTTTTCGGGTTGAAAGGAAATGATACCAGACAGAAACTTAGATCTTCAGCAAGGAATGAAAAGCACCAGAAATGGTACCTATCTAGTTAACTATAAGAGGCTATTTCCAATATACACATATTTCCCAATACACATGGTTGTTTAAACCAAAAAACCTTATCTTGTGGGGTTTAAAATGAATATAAATATAGTATAGATGACATCTATAGTGTAAAAGGACCATAAAAGACATGGGTGGGAGGAGAGGTAGTAGATCTGTACAGTTTGTAAAGTTTCTGTATTTCACCTGAAGTTGTACAATATTAGCTCTAAGAAGGCTGTGAAAATCTAAGGATGTATATACCACAGTCCTTACAGTAACCATTAAAAAAAAAAAAAAAACAAAAGATGCAATGAGGTATAGTTTAGAAGGTAATGGATAAATAGATTTCTAAAATTTCAAATAAGCCCAATAGACGAGAGGAGGGAAAACAAAAAATAGAACAGAAAATACGTGAAAGAAATGGCAGATTTAGGGAATTCTCTGGTGGTCCAGTGGTTAGGACTTCACACTTTCACTGCTGAGGGAGTGGGTTCAATCCCTGGTCAGGGAACAAAGATTCTGCAAGCCGTGTGGATAAAATTTTTTTTAAATGGCAGATTTAAATAAAACCATTTCAATAATGACTTGAAAGGTTAATGCACCAAATATGCCCATTAAAAGGCAGAAATTCTCAGGATTGACAAAAAAGCAAGGGTCAGCTATACATATACAAGAGTTTTACTTAAAGATAAAGACACAGGTATGTTGAAAGTAAACCTAATACCTTATGGTGACTTTCATTCAATACAAGCATATTGAATGCCGGTCCCTTTTCACACACTTAAAAACCAAAAAAATCATGTGTAGCATTTTCTCTAACAAAATATACTTGTTAAATGTTTAGAGATCCTATTCTTTCTTTTTCTATTGAATATACTTCCCTGTGCTATACAGTAGGACCCTGTTGTTTATCTATTTTATATATAGTACTGTGTATCTGTTAATCCCAAGCTCCTAATTTATCCCTCCCCCACCCCTTTACACTTTGGTAACCATACATTTGTTTTCTATGACTGTGAATCTTTCATTTTTGTTAATAAGTTCATTTGTATCAGTTTTTTAGATTCCACATATAAGTGATATTACATGGTATTTGTCTTTCTCTTTCTGACTTTATGATAATCTCTAGGTCCATCCATGTTGCTGCAAATGGCATTATTTCATTCTTTTTTTTTTTTTTTGCGGTATGCGGGCCTTTCACTGTTGTGGCCTCTCCCGTTGTGGAGCACAGGCTCCGGACGCGCAGGCTCAGCGGCCATGGCTCACGGGCCCAGCTGCTCTGTGGCATGTGGGATCTTCCCGGACCGGGGCACGAATCCATGTCCCCTGCATTGGCAGGCGGACTCTCAACCACTGCGCCACCAGGGAAGCCCTATTTCATTCTTTTTTATGGTTGAGTAATATTTCATTGTATGCATATACCATGTCTTTATCTATTCATCTGTTGATGGACATTGAGGTTGCTTCCATGTCTTGGCTATTATAAATAGTGCTGCTATGAACACTGGGGTGCCTCAATCTTTTCAAATTACAGTTTTTGTGTTTTCTGGATATATGTCCAGGAGTGTCCAGGAGTGCAACTGCTGGATCACATGGTAGCTCTATTTTTAGTTTTTTAAGGAACCTCCATACTGTTCTCCATAGTTGCACCAATTTACATTCCCACCAACAATGTAGGAGGGTTCCCTTTTATCCACACCCTCTCCAGCATTTATTGTTTGTAAACTTTTTGATGATGGCCGTTCTGACTGGTGTGAGGTGATACCTCATTGTATTATTTTGTTTTTTTTTTTTCCTGCGGTACGCAGGCCTCTCACTGTTGTGGCCTCTCCCGTTGCGGAGCACAGGCTCCGGACGCACAGGCTCAGCAGCCATGGCTCACGGGCCCAGGTGCTCCGCGGCACGTGGGATCTTCCCGGACCGGGGCACGAACCCGTGTCCCCTGCATCGGCAGGCGGACTCTCAACCACTGTGCCACCAGGGAAGCCCTCATTGTAGTTTTGATTTGCATTTCTCTACTAATTAGCGATGCTGAACATCTTTTCATGTACCTACTGGCCATCTGTATGTCTTCTTTGGAGAACTGTCTATTTAGGTCTTCTACACATTTTTTGATAGGGTTGTTGTTTTTTTTGATATTGAGCTGCATGAGCTATTGGTATAATCCCATCCTTTATAATACATTCTATCAGCTTGGAAATATTTCCCTAATTCTTATTGGTAGTAATTCAAAAAAGAAAATGTCATCTCTCACGTAACAAGAATTCTAAAACATTTCTAATATACCATGAGCTCCTAAAATGTAAGGAACGGTTTTCGTTTTCCCAAATGTTAGCACATAGGTAAACCAAGCATAAATGTCTATTGAACAAACATTTCAATGGGTGAATGGGCACATGTACTAAGGAAAAATGAAATAGTTACCACTTGAAGCCTCTGTGAGTTCTGAAAGTAGAGGATACTCTCCAACTAAACATCCAGACTGTAGATTTAAACCAGATTCAGAAGATTTCTTGGAGAAAAATAAGAGTAAAGAAGTATTAAATTTTATTACTTATAGGATTACTGATATTTTTAAAGATTTGAGTAAGCATTATAGATTATCTGGAAATCTGATATTAAATCAATCAATCCATCGCCTTCATTATCTAGTTAATTCTTAAGGAAGTATATAGGAATCCTATATTAGGAACCTCCAAACATCCTACCCAACAATTTTCAGTTCTCTAGGAAACGTTTATAGGACACATTTTTGCTGTCTTATTGTTTAAAGTCTAGAAAACTATGTTAACTGCTTTCTTTTTTTTCCTCTCTCTCTCTCTTTTTTTTTTTTTTTTAGGTTAGTCAAGTGAAGCAGTGGGAGTGAAGAAGGAACAAAGAAATCTGTAACTGGCTGTGATCAATTAATTGTAAACACCACTGCATTCGGACCAGCCAACGCTTTCTTTAAAGAGGAAATTCTCAAAATAAAGAAAAATATAATGACTAATCAAACAACAGAAGGTATCAATAGCTAGAAAAGGAAAACCATCAATGGCCAGGATAGAAAAAGACACTCATATTAATGTAAAAACCACTTGTAAATCATGGTGTATGGCCAAAAATTAATGGAGGTTCTGATAAGAAAAATTATTGTCAGATGATGATTCCATATCTACTAGAATAGAGCAGAGGGAGTGGAGATTATAAGCGACTCTGAGATATACATGAAACCCACGGGGGCCCTGATGGTCAACCCTAATGACCATCAAGCATTTATTAAGCCAGTCCAGATAAGGTCAACAGGACATGTACTGGATCTACATGACAGAGAAGGTGCGGGAAAAAAGCTTCCACTCTACCGGTATTAGGTGTCTTCTCTCACTAAAAAAACAGAAACCTGCTGTATAAAACCAGAACTAAGGGTCGTGAGAGAACTAGATCCCCGTTTATGTTTGTGTGAAGGGCAAGGGTCCTCAACAGTATGATGATTATTATTATTATATACATTTTTTTGGCCGCTCCGTGCAGCACGTGGGATCTTAGTTCCCCAACTAGGGATCGAACAAGAGCGCCCTGCAGTGGAAGCGAGGAGTCTTAACCACTGGACCGCCAGGGAGGTCACTTAACAGTATTATTTAGTTCACGTTGGTTATCATCTTTTGATGATGTTGACAGCCTCTAGGTAGTTATAAGGAACAAAAAATTCCCTACAGCTACTTGAACGCAGTGGGGAGAGCAAGGGAGAAACTGCTAAAGGGCACCATGCTTTCCAGCCGGTATTAAACCAGTGAGGGGCAGCAAGGCAGAAATGCCAGACCTCCAGACCTGAGGGGTAGAGCCCAAGTATCATCCTCGCCTCATTTACTAGTTCTGTGTAAATTAGGTGCTCATATGTCTGTCTCCCCCAGCAGACAAAAAGCTGTTCAAGGGCAGGACTGTGACTTTCTCACCATTGGACCGTTGGTATCTACAATACCTCAAATAATAGAAGACTAGAGGGCTTCATCTTTTCATAAAGTCTTTTTCATATCAAAAGCAGCATGTTAATCAAAACTGTCTCTAATAACCAATAAGCCAACCAACCACAAAAAAAATTTAGCAAGGAGGAAATTTCTCTCTCTCTTTCTCTCGCTCTCTCTCTCTCTCTCTCTCTCTCTCTCACACACACACACACACACACACACACACACACACAAATTTAAAACCCAGCTAAAATACCACAATACAATATACATAAGTACTATAATTGCAAAAGGGCCTTGACAGTCAGTCCTAAAAGTGACTAGCCAGAAATCCAAAGCTTCATTTTCCTATGTTTCCAGTAAGTGAATTACCTCAGAGAGATTTGCAGAAGTTTCAACAGCACACTGTCTATCTGTATTGGGAAAAGCAGCAACATTGTGTATCTGGAGACCAAAGGCATCAGTTAGGTTTCCATCAGAGCTGCTCGGAGAGGATATTCTCTGTCGCTTGGATGACAAGTTTGCAGGGAACTCACACTGTTGACATTCACCAGGACTTTCCTTTTTGGCTAGGTACACAAGACAAAATAAAAACAAAACAACACAGGCCTTCAATATTTTATTTTACAGCATCATTTGAAAATTGTGTACATCCTAAGTTTAGTAAAATTTAATGCTTGAGCCTAAATACTTTATCAATGAAAACTCCAGTAGTACATTTTTTATTCCAAAAGGGAAATCTAACTGAAAAGTAAAAGACCATGACTGCTAAAAAGATAAAAATTTAATTATTAGAATTGACTTTTTTCAGACTTTAAAATGTACAAAGATACGCCAAGATACATTTGCAATTTTGATATAGTATCTCATTCTATTTTTAAGTTTAGAATGAAACCTTTTCTTTTGAACATTTTAAAGGATGTGGTTACGTTCTAATATTGGTTCTACTTTGACCGTGTATGATTTTATGAAAAATACAGCCACAGTTCTTCCTAGGTACAAAAAGGAATTTAATTGTCTACAGAACTTTAGTAATGATGTAAATAAAATATTTAAAAGCTCAGATAAAAACTGAAAAATAGGTAAGTTACAAATGACAAATACAAATGAGTACATCGGAGCAGGTCATGTACTGCAGAGGTAGATGAACTGGATTTGTCTTGAGTAACAATGCCCTGCACCCAAGGAGGTGTTGAAATGTACTTGAAGATAGTTCAAGAAAGCAAACAAAACCATTTGGAACCTTAGGGTTATGGTGGTTACAGCAAGACCAAGATTTTGTCTAGTTCTGGTGTTTGAAATGCTTTGCAATTGGAAAATCAAAAGTGACAAAAAAATTACCAAATAAATTACAATCTAAAAGTTATGGTAAAGAATATGGCAGGCTATTAAGATGTCAGGCTGAACATATCTGTTTATAATATCAGAGTTGGGAGTCTGGTATTCATTTAAATGCTTGCCAAACTTAATAATAATCCTCTAAAAAATCAAGGTTTGTGCACTCAAATCTACCATGTGCCCTATTCTAAAGATGAAATGAGCCCACTGGCTTCGACATTATAACACTTAGCCCTTAATTGTGGCCACGTGGATATGTAAGACGTAGGCTCAGGAGTGCTTGATACTATATTTTTTCAAGAGAAACCAGAAATCCAGATTTTTGTGTGAAATGTCCCAAATTTTAAATGGTAGGCCCTATTGAAAAATACAGCTCTACTCAGAAAAGACTGTAGAACTAAATCTTTATACTGAGCATGGTCTGAATAAATACTAAAGCCCTTCTTTCTACTCACTTGAGCCTGTGATCTTGAACTCTCCTTCCGTCTCTGAGAGTTCAGGACAGTCAGTCATTTTCGCGTTTTCCTTTATGGAGTGAAAAGCTGACTGGAAGGCAGATATTTGTTCTCTTAAAGAATGAACATTTCGATACAAAACAGGGCTGCCCTGTTAAAATACAGAAGCACAGAGGACATTATAAATCAAACCAAAGACAGGCTTTTCGAAGAGCAGAGGTAATAAGTTAATAGAGCAGAGCCTCTCCTCCCGTGAACGACACACTCTTAGTCTGAATATTCGGTGTACAGCCATCGTCTTCGTTTCTCCTCTCTCCTCCTTAATCTGAGCAAAGAGCAATAGCTACATGGGAAGTATAAATGTGGAGCTATAGGCTGGCCAGTACTGATACTGACAAGCCCATGGACCAGACAGGAGAAATCTGGAGGAGATAGAAAGCACTTTAAAAAGGCACCCAGACAAAACACATCCCAATTATTTGAGGGCTTGACAATCTTTAAAAGGATTCTTTCTGGGGGTGGGGGGAGGGGTGGTTAAGGACGCTCTTTTATAACTGAGAGTCCATAACCTGAGATAGCCTCAGCGAATCAAATGTGAAAGGGAAAGAGGTTCCACACAAAATGTTTGAGAGGCCAGTTTAAGAGACTATATGGATGTTGAGCTGTACGAGTTGTTTACGTATGTTGGATATTAATCCCTTAAAAAATGGGCAGAAGAACTGAACAGACATTTTTCCAAAGAAGAAATGCAGATGGCCAGTAGGCACATGAAAAGATGCTCAACGTCGCTAATCATCAGGGAAATGCAAATCAAAACCACAATGAGATATCACCTCACAACTGTCAGGATGCTATCACCAAAAAGACCACAAATAGGGACTTCCCTGGTGGTCCAGTGGTTAAGACCCTGGACTTCCAACACAGGGGGTGCGGGTTCAATCCCTGATCTGGGAACTAAGATCCTGTATGCCCTGTGGCGTGGCCAAAAAAAAAAAAAAAAGATCACAGGGCTTCCCTGGTGGCGCAGTGGTTGAGAGTCCATGCAGGGGACACGGGTTCGTGCCCCGGTCCGGGAAGATCCCACATGCCGCGGAGCGGCTGGGCCCGTGAGCCATGGCCGCTGAGCCTGCGCGTCCGGAGCCTGTGCTCCGCAGCGGGAGAGGCCACAACAGTGAGAGGCCCGCGTACCGCAAAAAAAAAGAAAAAAGAACAAAAAAGACCACAAATAGCAAACATCAGCGAGGATGTGGAGAAAAGGGAACCCTCGTACACTGTTGATGGGAATGTGAATTGATGCAGCCGCTGTGGAGAACAGTATGGAGGTTTCTCAAAAAACTAAAAATAGAACTACCATATGACCCAGCAATTCTACTCCTGGATATACACCTGAAAAAAACAAAAACACTAATTCGAAAAGATACATGCATCCCCAATGTTCATAGCAGCACTATTTATAATTGCCAAGATATGGAAGCAACCTAAGTGCCCATCAACAGATAAAGAAGATGTGGTATATGTATACAATGGAATACTACTCAGCCATAAAAAAGAATGACATTTTGCCATTTGCAGCAACAAAGATGGACTTGGAGGGCATTATGCTAAGTGAAATAAGTCAGACAGAGAAAGACAAATACTGTATAATATCACTTATATGTGGAATCTAAAAAACACAATAAACTAGTGAATGTCTAACACAAAAGAAACAGACTCACAGATATAGAGAACAAACTAGCTGTTATGGGGCTGGGGTGCGGCAATATAGGGGTGGGGGAATAGCAGGTACAAACTATTGGATGTAAGACACATTACAAGGATGTATTGAACAAAACAGGGAATATAGCCAATATTTTGTAATAACTAAATGGAGTGTAACCTTTAAAAATTGTATACAAAATAAAAATTAAAATCAGTAGTAAGAATTTTATGTCTGTACAGTTAGCAAAGAGTTTACCCAATAAGAACAACAAAAGAAAAAAAGAGAGAGAGAGACAGACTATACGGAGATCACAAGAAAGCATCAAAATCCTGGAGACAGGGCTAAGGAAGAAGGGATAGGAAGAACTTGTCTATTTGGAAATTTTACCAAAGTTTTCCAAAAATATCCTTAGAAAATGATCTGCATGGCACCTTTGTCACATGTAGGTCTCAGCATAACTAGTTCCATCCAACCTAGTCTCTATTCATTTCCATCCAGACACACCCTCTCCCCAGGGGCCAGAACAATATACAGATGTTCTGAAGTAGCTTCGACACCCACCCACATATACCCTCTCCCCTCTGGCACCCCCCCAGCTAAATCTTCCTGATGTCATGGGAGCTTACTTCCTTAGAGCTAAAAGCTAGCCATTCACTGAAACTACAAAGTCAAATAGTTAAAAAAATGGTCTAAGCACAGGAGCTCTCTGGAAACCCTGCTAACAGGATTTCAACCAAAGAGTGGTCAAATTAAATTGGTATTAGCAGGGACAGAAGTGCCAGACAAGTGTAAGCAATATACAATTTAATAGTTCTGCCACCTGTAAAATAAATTACTGGTTAGGTTCTCTAGGGTTTTTTTTTTCCCCCTTTATTATTTAGACTAACATATTTCCACTGATTTGGAGCTTATACCAATTAAAAAAATTATGCTAAGAGGCGAAAGTAAAGTAAAAAAATTACCTCCCTTTAGAATATCATATGGAGAAAAAATCAGTTAAAATCTTGAAGCCATGTTTGATGGTGAATCTGCTCACACACTGGATTCTATTCCCAGTTAAATACCTTCATAAAGCAAACTCTGTTGCATAATAACACAACATTTAAAATTCAAATATCGTTGATGATATAAACCTTTACGACATAAACGGCACATAACGTTTATAAAAAGCTGGTGGTCAACTCTTACCTAACTGAGATATAGAGAAAGAAAGGGTTTATCCCAAAGTCATACAATTTACGTTGAATGTACATTTTTTGTACTTATATTTGAACACGGGAGGGTTAGGTTTAATGTGCTAGGAATTTGGAGCATTTTGAAATACTGCTTTAAACAAATTAAAGGTTCCCCAGTCAAAATTGTTTCTGGGCTTCCCTGGTGGTGCAGTGGTTGAGAATCTGCCTGCTAATGCAGGGGACACGGGTTCGAGCCCTGGTCTGGGAGGATCCCACATGCCGCGGAGCAACTAGACCCGTGAGACACAACTACTGAGCCTACACGTCTGGAGCCTGTGCTCCTCAACAAGAGAGGCCCGCGCACCGCGATGAAGAGTGGCCCCGGCTCGCTGCAACTAGAGAAAAAGCCCTCGCACAGAAACAAAGACCCAACACAGCCAAAAATAAATAAATAAATAAATTTATTTTAAAAATTGTTGTTTCTCTGTTTCCTGATGGAGAAAGAGAACAATGTTCATATACAAAAAGTAAAGGAAGCATTCAAAAACGTACTGCATTTTTGATGCTTTTGTCTTAGGAATTATATCGGTCAGTCAACATTCTTTCCACGTACCAGAAACTATTCAAGGGGCTCAGGATACAGGGGGAAATTACATTCTAGAGTGAAACTCTGAAAACATATTAATATAGTTTCAGGTACAAGAGGTGCCACTGAGAAGGTAAAAAAGGAGTGTGGCAAAAAAAAAAAAAAAAGGGGTGATCCCGCGTACTGCAAAAAAAGAGTGTGATTTAGTAATAACAGTGCTGCTTTACTTGAGTCAGGACAGCGCTCTGTCAGGAGTAACATCTGAGTTGGAACTGAAACAGAAAGTGGTAGTTAAGGGAAGATACTGGGGGAGGAAGGCATTCTGCAAGAACAAGCCGGAACAAGAGCAAAGGCCCTGAGATGGAAGGAGGATGCAGCAGGAAGAAGGCCCGCGTGCCCAGAAAACAGCAGGAGATGGCGAGCTGAGAATAGGGATAGGCAGGGCTCAGATCGGGGAGGGCACTCAAGGCTTCAAGATGGGGTTTGAGTTTAATTCACGGCATAACAGGAAGCCACGGGAAGGTTTTAAGAGGCAGAGTGAATGATCTGATTCATTCTTTAAAAGTATCTCTTTGACTGCTCTGTGGGATGGTGGACGGACCAGGGAAGGAGGGAAATAAGGAGACCAGTTATGAAGAAGCAGCTGGTGATTCAGGTAGAAATCACATTAGGGTTGTAGCAATGGAGCTGGGGGACATGAGGAATTACAGATAGGTTTCTGAAATGAAGCCGAAAGGTAATAATGGGTTGGATGTGGGAGATGAAAAGGAAAAAAAAAGGAAGGAACCGAGGAAGATTGGTAAGTTGTTGGCCTGAGCGACTGGACGGCAGCGTGTACTGAGATGAGGAAGTTGACCGGAGGATCTCGTGGGGGATGGAAACCTGAAGTTTGGCTGTGGCCGTGTAACACTCGGAATGCTTACTGGAACACCCAAAGGCAGATGGTGAATAGGCAACTGGGTATCTAAGTCTGGAGCTCTACAGAACTCTGGGCCACTGTTAGACATTTGAGTCATCAGCCTATAGATGATGTTCAAAGCCATAGCAAAGGATTAGTTTACCTAAGGAAAGCAAAGAAAAGGGGGCAGAGGAGAGCCCTGGGGAGCTCAAGCATTTGTGAGGGGAAAACTGGAAGGCCTGGAATAAGCAAATGAAACACAGGAACGGATGACAGTGACACAGGAAGAAAATCAGGTCAGTGTGGTATCCCAGAAACAAAGAAAACGCTTCAAGGAGGGAGTAGCTAAACTCAGTCAAAAGCTGAGGCAAGGTTGCGTAGGATGCAAACTTAGACTTAATCTTTGTCTTGGCCAAGATGCGGGCCATTTGTGATCAAAGACAAAAGTCTTCTCAATGGAGTGGTAGAAACAAAAGTCCGATTGGAGTGGCTACAGCAGAGAGAATGGAGGGAAGGAAGTGGAGCAAGACAGGACAGATGGCTGTTCAAGGAGCTTTGCTGTGATGGACAGGCATAGGAATGGGATGCCATGGGGGTCTAGGAAGAGTTCAAGGGACAGAGTAAGACAAATGCATAAGGAAAAACAGGTCAGAATAACATACATGGTCATAATGATGTAAACATTCGAATACTGATGTAACCAATCTATTGGGAACTTATAGAGGATGGGAAGTGCATACATACATTTATGATAAAAGGTATGAGGAAGAAAGAGGGCTAACTTTCCACTGAA